AGTAGGGCTGCATTCAGCAAGACAGTCCAGGATGAAACTGATGGCTTCTGTCTTGTCCTCACTCCAGATGTGTTTCACATAAATTAATACTGAGTCCGCACCAAATTTTTTTTCTTTTAGTTTCTTGGTCTCTGCAACCCTGGAAAAACATTTCCTACTTGGATAAAGTGTTCTGACCCAGGACAACACTGTGTTACTTAACTTCTGAGTTAGCCATGCTTTTCTGAGGCTATTCCAGACTTTTTTGCCTCTGTGCAACTAGTTTTTATCGTGTTTTTTGAAAAGAGGTACCACCTACATAGCTTAAAACAATCTTAGGAAAATCTGAAATAATAAGAATGCTCTAAGAGTAGGTGGGTATTCTAAAGGCTCGTCATATAAACATTTGGGTGTCTTCAATTTTTAGAAAGATGTTTAATTATATAATAAATATTTGAATCCCTTCTCTTTTAAAAAATTCTAGAAGGCTGGGCATGGTGGCTCATGCCTATAATTGTAGCACTTTGGGAGGCCGAGGAGGGTGGATTGCTTGAGCTCAGGAGTTCGAGACAAGCCTGGGCAACATGGTGAAACCCCTGTCTCTACAAAAACATACAAAAAATTAGCCAGGCATGGTGGCGCACACCTATAGTCCCAATTACTTGGGGGCTGAGGCAGGAGGATCACTTGAACCTGAGAGGTCGAGGCTGCAGTGAGCCAAGATTGTGCCACTCTACCCTGGATGACAAAGTGAGACCCTGTCTCAAAAAAAAAAAAAAAAAATCAAAAATCTAGAATATTCTAGAGAACACTAAAGTTCACTTTGACCATCACTTTTAATTCCTGTTGCCTCCTCTCTGCCTTCTAGAAGTAACTGCCTTTCTTTTTGTGTATAGCCTTTCAGATATGTATAAATATATAAGCGCACATGGAAAATATAGTAACATTTTATGTGTCTCTAATAAATGGTGATAACATACAGTACATAGTACATACTGCAATCAGAAAACTTTTTTCACTCCAATATATTTTTTGATGTGTCCCTGTTAATACTTGGAGATCTGGTTCATTTCCTTCCATTGAAATTTCATTTCCCATTGTATGAATAGACCACATTTCATTTTTCAAGTCTCCTTTGAAGTGATAGCTAAGTTATTCCCAGTCTTTTGCTATTTACTAACAATTCTGTAATGAACATCTTTGATATGTCCCCTTGCTCATGTGTATGAGATTTTCTGTAGGATAGATAATGAAAAGTGAATTTACTAAGTATGTTGCCTAATCCAAGAAATATATGCCTATAGTTTAATATTCATAGTTCTACAAAGGAATATATGTGGAAAACAGCAGTCCTCAGTGACTGCCCACCACGCTTTTTTCCTGCCCAGGGGCAACAACTTTCAACTCTTGCTGCTGCCTTTAAAAATGTAACCTCCAAATTATTATTGTTATTTTTTCTGATACGGAGTTTCGCTCTTGTTACCCAGGCTGGAGTGCAATAGCGCAATCTCGGCTCACCGCAACCTCCACCTCCTGGGTTCAAGCGATTCTCCTGCCTCAGCCTCCCGAATAGCTGGGATTACAAGCATGCTCCACCACACCTGGCAGATTTTTGTACTTTTAGTGGAGACAGGGTTTCTCCATGTTGGTCAGGCTGGTCTCGAACTCCTGACCTCAAGTGATCTACCCGCCTTGGCCTCCCAAAGTGCTGGATTACAGGCGTGAGCCACTGCACCCAGCCTCACCCCCAAATTTCTAAGTAACATCCTTAGGTGCTACTTCTTGATTCTTTTTTTTCCCCCATTGTAGGCATGATCTCTGGCTTCCCAAAATATACTAATTGAGCTCTCTTTTCTCACCCTTGACCCCATCACACACATGCAAACTTTCTCTTCATGTCTTCCCAGTATCAATCAGTCATACCTTGAGCTTTATTAATATGCGGTATTTGCCTTCTTACAACTATATAAATACTTTTCACAGAGAAGTCATTTGGTATACAATAATTACTTTTCCTTCTCTGTGTGCTGGCCTGGGAGGTGACATCTTTCAGAATAAATCCTTTCAGCAAACAAGTCTGGGTGGCAGCTCCTTCTTGCTTCTTGTCCAGTACATGGAGGGTTGGTAATCAGTGATTAGGTGCACGAATTGCTCTGTCAAAGAGGAGTGTGTGATTGTGCAGAGGTGAAATGCTTTGGATATGAGTAATGCAAAACCTTTTCCCAGGTCACACACTGATTCCCTCCTAGGCCCTGAAAAGTTTGTTTTCCTCATTTTCTCTTCATTTTTCACTGAGTACCCTGCCCCGTCGAGTTCCAGCCAGGACCAAGAGTGCTAAGCTTTGGCTCTCGGGGCCGTGATGAAGTGTTTTGCCTAATGGCTGTGTTCCTGGGCCTGATTCTTCACAGTTGTGTGTGTGAAGCTGAGATCACCAGCTGCATTTTTTTCTTTCTTTTTTTCAAGGGTCAAGAAGGGTTTATGTCCTTAATTATTTATTTTTATAATAGAAATAATACAGCCTCCAGTGAAAAATTTAAACAGGAAAAGGACTGTATGGAGCGAGGGGACAAGGCCCCTGTCTCTCCTCTCCCAACTCAGCCCCTTTGAGTCCTCAGAAACAGTGTTGTTTCAGAACCAGATTACCTACGTTCCAATCTCAGCATTTGTTAGCTTGTATGGCCTTGAACAAGTTGCCTAACCTTTGTGTGCCTCCGTTTTCTCATCTATAAAATGGGTGTTTTTGTCCATTTAGTGTTGCTATAATAGAATACCTGAGGTTGCATAATTTGTAAAGAAAAGGGGTTTATTTGACTTATGATTCTGGGGGTTGGCAAGTTAAAGATTGGGCAGCTGTACCTGGTGAGGGTCTCAAGCTGCTTCCACTCATGGTGCAAAGTGGAAGGGGAGTCAACATGTGCAGAGATCACATGGGGAGACAGGAAGTCAACTCTTTTAACAACTCACACTCTTGGAAACTAATCCATTCCTGAGAGAGTGAGAATTCACTGACTCTCATGGGAAGGCATTAATCTATTCATGACCCAAACACCTCCTACTAGGCCTTACCTCCCGACACTGCCACCTTGGAGATCAAATTTCAACACGAGTTGTGGCAGGGACAAACCACATCCAAACCATAGCAATGGAAAAATAATAGTGTTCACCTTACAGAGTTTTGTGAGGATTAAATGAGTTAATACTTATAAAGTGGCACAGAGAAAGCACTTCATAGATATTAGCCAGGAATATTATTAACAGTGTGTTTTATATCCTTCTAGACTAGTGGTTCTTAACCTTGACTGCATATTGAAATCACCTGGGGCGCTTTAAATTTCTTGGTGCCTAGACCCTGCTCTCAGCAATTCTGATTTTATTGGTCTGGAGAGCAGCCTAGGCATCAGGATTTTTAAAGGCTTCTCAGAGCATTACAATATGCATCCAGGGTTGGAAACCATTGCGCTGCATATTTTCCATGTGTATCAGTTAGGATAAGCAAGGGTAGGCTGCAGTAACAAACATCCCCAAAATCTCATCTACTTTGCATTTATGATACATGTCCATTGTGGTCAACTGTATCTCTGATCCACATCATCTTTATTCTGGAACCGAGGCCAACAGAATATGTGTGGGCGTTGGTGAACATAGCTGCCTTCCAGGCTAACAGAATAAATATCCAGAATATTTACAGCCTTGTGAAGTGAGAAAAGAGAGTGCATGGGGAAGTGTGTACTGGCTCCTAAAACTTCTAAAAACTTCTGACCAAAAGTGAAACATAACTTTTGCCCACATATCACTGGCCACAGCAAGTTGCATGGTCCAGTTTCTAAGTAACATGCATATGTCCTCCTTCTGGTAGCCCATAAAAGAAGTATGTTCTTTCAGTTTTAGGTATGATCTCTTGCTTCCCAAAATACAAGAACTGAGCTCTCTTTTCTCACCCTTGACCCCATCACACATAGGCAAACATTCTCTTCATGTCCTCCCAATATTAATCAATCATAACCTGAATTGAACAGGGTGAATATGTGTCAGGGCCTGGATAGTAAATGTTTTAGGCTTTGTAGGACACACAGTCTGCTCACCTCTGACTTTGTAGTACAAGAGGAACTTTAGACAATACACTGATTTTTTTTTTTAATGTAAAAACCATTCTTAGCTCATTAGTCATACAAAAACAAGCAGCAGGCCAGGTTTGGCGAAGGAACTGCAGTTTGCCAACCCCTGCTACATATCATCCTTTTTCAGGGAGAAGAACCTCAGGGAGGGACCCCCAGTATGGGTGAACAGCAGTGCAGTCTATCACACTATGTATACAGAAAGGAGGCACTTTCATTGCACAGTTGTGCAAATTCATATGTTGTACTGTGTTGCAGCTTGCTTTCACTACTTAGTACTGTATCTCTTGATGACAGTTTCATATCAGTAACTCCACAATGACTTCATTTGTATAATGGCTGCCTAGTTTTCCCGCCTATGAATGTACCATAGTGCCTTTGTGTTCGTGTGTTTTTATCATTAACCCTCTATTGTTGGATAACAGGGATTTTTTTAAATATCAAGAGGAGTAAGGCAGTGTGCATAGAGAGATTGTTGGAAAGAGAGACTCAACATCTCAACTCTCCCAGTAGTTTATACTGAAATCTTCCAGACCTCCCTGATAACAAAAATGTGTTGGAGGGAACCCCTGAAAGCATGCATTTTCCAGGAGGCCCTTTTTTATTACAGCCATGTCATATCTGTGATAAGTGTCCTTGCAACACTGAACACTGTTGCAATCCCAGGGTCATTTTCCAGGAGATTTAAATACTGGAGAGGGTAAAAAGAAATGGCGAAAAACTAGAAGTGAGATCCTGGAAGCTGTATGACATTATTATCACACCAGCCCCACACAGAGACACATTTTAGGCCACGCATGAGCCAAGCAGATGAGGTAAAATCAAAACTGCTTTTCAGCAGTGGGATGGGACCAAAAGAGTGGCTGAGATTCCTCGCATGTGATTTTCCCCTTCTCTACCTCACAGGACACCACGACGTCCGTGCGCATTGGCCTCATGATGGAAGAGATGATCTTCAACCTTGCAGATACACATCTGTTCTTCAATGACCTGGAGGTTTGTGGTTGCTGATTTCATTTAATATTTGCCATGTTTAATCACCTGCATCTAGTTTATGGGAAGAAGGATGCTGCCTTTCCTTTCTTTTTTTTTTTTTTTTTTTTTTTTTTTTTTCTTTTTCATTTAGAAGCTTGAAACTTTTGCTAACAACCCCCAAAAAGGCCCGAATCTGTGGCCGGTGATGTTTTATTGGAAACACACTTAGCTCAATTATCTCCCTAGCTTTCCTGTGCAGTTAACGGGCTCTTCTCTGTTCCAGCGATGATGTCCACTGGCAGTTTTACTAATCCAATAAAGGCTATATGGTTTCTTCCTCCTGAAATTTGCTATTTAATAAGTTTATTAAGGCAAATTAGTACAGATCCTCCCGGGTCAGTAATAATTAGCAGTGGCCCAGGATGGAAGCTTTTAAAAACAATTTACATTCCCCTGAATGCATGTTTTACAAAGAGAAAGAATGAGAGTAAGCAGAGGGAATATGCTTATTTAAAGTATCTGCTCCTGAGCCCGTAAGCAAGATCCAAGGGAGGTAGGGAAAAAAGCGGGAGAGTAGCTTCAAAAATAAATTGAATTTATTTGTTTATACCCAGCCTATGTCAGAAAGGATTTCGAATGGGAAACATATTTAAAATAGAACTAGTAACACAAAGGCAAAGGGAAGCAAAGCTATGTCATGAATAAGGGTAAGACGTTGTACAAAAAAAATCCAGGCTCAGGCTAAGTATTGCGATCAAGTTCAGAATGTATCACTTCCTGGTAGCCAGAGTAAAGAGGGGAATACAATGAGTTACTTCCCTCTAATGAAAGAGCAAGCAACTTTCTCCAGTGTGAAGGAAGGGTTTGGGCTGATAAAAGGATCAGTATGGGAATCTTCTGGCTTTGTAAATTATGTTCACCTTATTGGTTCAACAGATTGAAAAATAAAGGCAACCTAAAATGAAACTGTATACAAAAGAAAAATTCTGTATCTCTTAGTAGGGATATTTTTTCCTGGAATCTGGAATATCCCTGGGGACTAAACTGTGAAGTAGAAATATAAAGGTTACGGATTTCAAATCCATCCTGGCTAGCCCAAGGCACCACTAATATTTATCATTAGGAAAGCATACAGATTTCTCTTTCTAGTCTGCAGGCTAGAGTTCCAGAGAGAGGAATCCTTGCTGAAATAATCAAAGTTGTGTTTTATCCAATCTACGTAAGCCTCTTGGGCCTCAGTCTTCACATCTATAAAATGGAATTGGTATTCTCTGCCCAATATCTGTTTTAAAGAGCAGAACTAGGTAGAAACTTGAGGAAGAAAGAGAGCTTTGGAGCAATGGAGAATAAATACCATTGGCTTCAAGGCCTGGGACTGTCTGTTTATTCAGAAGCAAAGTGCAGACTCGCTTGATGATGACGTCTATAGCTTGAAGGACACAAAAGAGAGAGAGAGAAAAAAAAAAAAAAAACCATGGCCGTTGAATTCAGTGAGTACTTACGGAGCCTAATGCAGTAAAGACTCAGCCGATTGCAAAAATCAAAACCCAACTCGCTTTAACAGAGAGTGGAAATTATTGGCTCTTGTAGTTGAAAAGTCCAGTGATTTCATTCTTGCTTATCGCCCCCACTTCTGTGAGAACAGCGACCACCCTGTCTGATTGACCCTGAATCCCCGGGGCCAGGCAGTAAACAACCAAGCAAATCCATAAACAAGACCATTTATGATAATAAAAAGGATATGAAGAAAATAAAATAATCAGATGTGAGAGCAAGTGACATGGGATGGAGGAGGATGCGGGGGGGCAGCATTCTTGAGGGGGCTGGTCCAGGGAGGGCCTCTTAAGGCAGTAACACTTGAGGTAAAAGATGACAAGCAGCCGGCCAGATGGAGATTGGGGGCAGGGGAGCAGGCACAGCAAGTGCAAAGGTCCTGAGTGAGAACCAGCATGAAGCCCCTTCTCTCCAGAAGGCGTGGGGGCCGTAGTGCAGGAGTAAAGGTATGTGGGCGGCCAGGGTAGATGAGCCTGGGGCAGGAGATATCACAGCAATCAAAGCTCATTCTAAGCGCCCTGGACGTCCCTGGGGCAAGCTGGTGGTGTTCAGCAGGAAAAGCCACATGGTCTGGGTTATGTGTTAAAAAGACTTCTCTGGCTGCTGCATGGAGAATGGGCAGTCAGAGGGGAAATGTAGGCTGGGCATGGCGGCTCACACCTGTAATCCCAGCATTTTGGGAGGCCGAGGAGGGCAGATCACTTGAGGTCAGGAGTCTGAGACCAGCCTGGCCAACATGATGAAACCTCGTCTCTACTAAAAATACAGAAATGTTAGCCAGGCGTGGTGGCGGGCGCCTGTAATCCCAGCTACTCAGGAGGCTGAGGCAGGAGAATCACTAAAACCGAGGAGGCAGAGGTTGCAGTGAGCCACGATCATGCCACTGCACTCCAGCCTGGGTGACAGAGCGAAACTCTATCTTAAAAAAAAAAGAGAGAGAGAGAAGAAAAAAAATGTGGAGGCAGGGAGACCAGCCAAGAGGCTACTGCAATAGTCCAAGCAGGAGAAGAAAATGGATTGGATCCAGGTGGTAGGAAGACGTGGACTTGAGGGTGAGGTGAAGCCAACAGGACTTGCTAATAGACTGGATGTAGAGGTTGGGGGAGAGAGAGGTGGCAGTGACTCTTGGGCTTGATCTGACCAGGACGTGTTGTCCTTCACTGAGATGTGGGCAGAACAGAGGAGGTGTTGGGTACGCAGTGGAGGATCCCATCCCCCTGTCTGGGGTACATGGGGTTTGAGATGTCTGAGACACCCTGGAGAAGATGCCAGATCGGCCGGCAGATGTATGAGGTTGAACCTCCACTACGGTCACATCATCAGGCATAGAATAGGTGCTTTGTGGATCTTGGTTGAACCTGCGGCTCAGAGCCAGGTATTTTGCGGGATTTGTGTGTATTTCAGGCTGATGTCTTCAGAGTCTTGCCCCACTCTGCCGTTTCTCTCTGGCCCCCGAAGTCGAAGTTGCACCTCTGGAGGGAGGATCTTAATTACCAGCTGGAGCTACTTAGGGAAGCCAGTTTGTGTTTATTTTCTAAATTTATTTCAAAAATGTCCCCAGTGCCAGAAGCCCCCAGGGCCCCCCAGCAGAATTGAAACCATGTTCTACCATGATGAAGTTAAAATTCACACAAGTGAAAACATATTGTTTGTTGGCGCAAGGCAGTCTCTGTCAAAATCTAAAGCACCGCCTTCTGCAGCTGCCCAGGGAAGCCGTGTGGACCAGGCAGAGGCATGCTCAAGGCCCCGCGAAGCCAGAAGCCTTTGTTCTCTGAGCCTGTAGGGAGTTCCTTCCCGCGGCCAGCAGCTCTTTATGAAGAGCTTACCATTTGCCAGGCCCTAATGGAAGTGCTGTGGATTCAGCAGCAAACCAAACACAGCAAGATGCATGCCCACAAGGCATGGACCTTCCAGTTCAGGAGGCTGACTGTAAACAATGGAATGCAAAGTGTAATGTCAGAGCAAAGTGTTCTGAAGAGACACCAAGAGAGTCAGGGAGGAGGCTGTCACCAGGGCTTTTGTTTTGTGGTTTTTGACTTTTTTTTTTTTTTTTTTTGAGACAGTCTCACTCTTGAGACTTTTGCCCAGGCTGGAGGTGCAGTGGTGCAATCTTGTCTTACTGCAACCTCTGCTTCCTGGGTTCAAGCGATTCTCCTGCCTCAGCCTCCCAAGTAGTTGAGATTACAGGCACACGCCACCACGTCCAGCTAACTTTTGTATTTTTAGTAGAGACAGGGCTTCACCTTGTTGGGCAGGGTGGTCTCAAACTCCTGACCTCAAGTGATCTGCCCTCCTCAACCTCCCAAAGTGCTAGGATTTCAGGTGTGAGCCACCGCACCCAGGCTCCTCTGACTTTTGAGCAAAGACCTGAAGGAGGTGGAGGAGGAGGCCATGCCGACATCTGGGTGAAGAGTGTTCCAGATAGAGAGAAGCACTGTGCAAAGAAAGGCCAAGGCATGATTAGAGTCGGTGGGCTCCAGAAACTGGGAGGAAACCAGCAAGACAGAAGCAGAGGGAACAGAAAGAATTGCGGTGGGCAATGAGGGTGACGCCTTTGGGCCATTGTAAAGCTTTGGGTAACAGCCAAGGGCGATAGAAGTCATTGGAGGGTTTGGAACAACATGATGTGACTTTGGTTCAGAAGCTGCCTCTGGCTGCCTGGTGGAGAACAGACTCCAGGGGACAGGGATTGCAGCAGGTGTCTGCATTAAATCAGCAACTTCCAGACTCCCAGGGGAAAGAATCTGTGGGGTTTAAAGAACGGTCCAGGATTGGCCTGGTGCAGTGGCTCACACCTGTAATCCTAACACTTTGGGAGGTCGAGGCAGGTGGATCACTTGAGGTCAGGTGGATCACTTGAGGTCAGGAGTTTGAGACCAGACTGGCCAACATGGTGAAACCCCGTCTTTACTAAAAATACAAAACTTAGCCAGGTGTGGTAGTAGGCACCTGTAATCCTAGCTACCCAAGAGGCTGTGTCAGGAGAATCACTGGAACCCAGGAAGTGGAGGCTGCGGTGAACAGAGATCGCCGCACTGCACTCCATCCTGGGCGACAGAGTGAGACTCTGTCTCAAAAAAAAAAAAAGAATGGTCCGGGACACAGAAGGTGCCACATGTAGCTGTATCTTAGGATATTCTGCATGCATGTCCCAAGTTGAGGACAAAAAAGCCTTCTAATCAGTTCCATCTGCCGTTGAGTCCTGGCTCCACCATCTCCTAACCTGGGCAAGTCTCTCCATCCCTGAGCCTCAGTTTGCTCATCTATTAAATGGGTGGAAGCCCCCACCATATAGGATTATAAGGATGGAGCTATGTGAAAGCAGTTAGCACAGAGCCTGGCTTACCTGCCCAGTATGTGGGCCTTTCCAGCAGGGGGCTGTCCCTGGGGACATGCAAGGGGGGTTCTATGGCACCAGGGCAAATTGTTGAATTGCTACATATTTATTTTACTTGAATTAGAAAACT